ACAAATTACGCGAATTTTACATTTTTAATACTTGGCTTCTTTTTATTGTACCTACCCATTGTTACATTTTGGTGGGTGAAAAAAGAAAATAACAAATTAAACGAATATATTGTTTATCACTAACTCAAAAACTGACTTTTTAAACGAATACTTTTTATTTGAATACAAATAAGGACTCTTTGCTTCTTTTTATTGCTACATTTTTAGAGGTTAAAGAAAAAAGAACAAAATAAATTAATTTTTAATCGATGCAACTCAAAAACATTTTGTTTTAAGTAAAAACTATTTCTAGGATAACGCAATACTTTTTATTTGAATCAATATGTTAAATTTTCACCTGCAAATGACAAATTTGTAATTAACTTGTTATTGTTAAATCTTTAGAGAGTAAAAGATAAAATAGCTTAAAATAATACACTTTTATAACTATTACCAAAAAATTCCCAAAATAAAAGAATATTGTAATACACGAATTCTTAGATTTTATCGTTAAAATTTATTTTTAAATCAGTGTCAATTCAAAATGTTTTTAAGAAAACACATTCTATTTATAGAAAGAACGAATACTGAAATGTTCCACCTATCAATAAAGACAATTTTAAGTAAATTTTTATTGTTACAATTTTAGAAGATAAAAGAGAAAATAAATTAAACGAATACATTTATCACTGTAAGTCAACAGGAAATTATGAAGTGGATTTAAATGTTTGTCAATGTAAAAAAAAATGCCGTCACTCTTGAAGTATTTCTTATTCTTTACATTCTTATGTTTAAAAAGAACAAAATAAATTATCTTTTATTCAGTTTAACTCAAAAACTTAAAAATATATTTCTGAAAAAAGAATAAAAGCAATATCATTTTACTATCAAGAATTCCATTGATTCCATCAGACACAGAGATTGCCTTCAAACTTCAAAGGCTCGTTTTCATGCAAGCCCTGTTTTGCTGACTATTCATAAAGTGTAAAGGGAAACCTTCAAGCAAATTGGAATTGACCTGTCTGTCCCATGCTTTTCACTTGGACAGCTGTATGTTGGAATATCACGGACAGGAAGTGCAAAAAGACTAAGCATACTCATAATAATCAGACACGCAATGTAGTTTATCCAGAAGCCATTTTGCATTAATCACAGATTTGAAATATCTTGATAGTATTAGTTCACAAATTCCATATAGTAAATTGTCATGTTTATGAAGAATGTTTCCTATGCTGTACACGAGGTTGTAGATGTGGATAATAAATTATTTTTAGTTTGATAAGGAATTTGCTACAATTCATTTTTGCTTGGCCATTTACCAAGTACTTCCACTACGCCATGTTTACCTAAAAAAACATAAAATAAAATTAAAATTACAAAATTAATGAAAAATGTAGACTTAATAAGGATTAAAAAAAAATTAGACTTTGATTTTTATATGTAACAAAAATATACCCTCTCTGTTACACCTCTCTTTCCCTTTCCCTCTGTCACTCAGTGGTATTCCATAATTCCTTTTAATCCGGTCATAGACAGGTTACTTCTGCTAGTGCATATATATATATATATATATATATATATATATATATATATATATATATATATATATATATATATATATATATAAAAAAAAACAGTAAGATATATAATCCGGTGTTCTTATAGATATTTTTATTTTTACAAAATAGTGCTCAATGTAAATTTACAGAGCATTAATATTATAAATTAATTGATTTAAAATATGTTTTTTTCGCTACACAGTTCTAACCATGTTTCAAAAATGGAAGCTAAAAGCCACGAATTTAATTTTGCAATTAAATTAAAGACATTAGTTCCATTTCATCAAATGAATCCAATAAAACGCCTACTGAAAAATGAAATTATAACGAAAATCTAGATGATGTAGGCCTGTGAACGACCCATGTCCTTTGTACATACATATGAAACTTTATTACTTAGTTTATATATATGTAAAATAAATAAATTAATTAATTAATAAATAAAGTTTACTAAATCTGAGAAATGAATTTTTTATAGTTTGATATGGAAATATTTAAATTTTTAAAAAAATCGTAATATACTATATAGTTTGATTGGAAAAAACTTACTATAAGTAATTTCAAATCCTTTATAAAGTAATATAGTCTATTAAAACTAACAATGAAAATATTTTAAAGTTGTAATTAAAATTGTAGTTAAATAAAGTGAATTCTAATCTAAACTTCTTTTACTTAGTACTACACGCACTTAAACGAATCCAATAAAACACCTATAGTAAAATAAATTAATATGAAATGCCAGAAGATGTAAGCTTTTGAATGACCCATGTCCTTTGTACTTACATGAGAAACAATATATTATTAGGTTTATATATATAAAAAATAAAAGTTTACTAAATCAGTGAAATTCAGTAACTATTTTTGCCGTCATTGTCATAAATTTTACTTAAAAAAAATGTACCCTAATATACATACTTACACTTGATGTAAAAATAATCCTACATAATATAAGGGATTCTAATACATTTAACTGTTCATAAAATATATATATATAGTATAATAAAAATTAAAAATGAGAATATTTCAAATCGTAGTTAAATAAAAAGTATTCTAATTTGAACACCCCCGAAAATCTTTAAATTTACAAATAGAAAAAAATGCCGTAAGAATTTTTTTGCCGTTAACAATAAATTTAAAAAAATCCAGACGACATACATTCAACGGATGTCAGTTTTCATTGAAAAATACATCCCTACCCCTTACCAAAATGTAGCTAATAACCGATACAATGATACAGACATGAGGAAAACCCAGACACCCCTTGTCCAGTTGATGTAGATTTATCTGTAACCATGGAAACGTGATTTTAGCTGTGTCTTTAAAACCCAGTAATTTACTCCAAAATTCGCTTGAGGATGACATGGAACTAATGTCTTTAATTTAATTGCAAAATTAAATTCGTGGCTATTAGCTTCCATTTTTGAAACATGGTTAGAACTGTGTAGCGAAAAAAAACATATTTTAAATCAATTAATTAATTATATATATATATATATATATATATATAATTATTTATTCGAAAATTATAACATAAATGTTATTAAAAACACTACAAAAACAGCTATTGTGTTTCAACACTTCTGGTGTCTTATCAAGTGATGGTATTAACACAATCACTTGATAAAGCACTAGAAGTGTTGAAACAAAATGGCTGTTTTTGTAGTGATTTTATAACATATTTATGTTATAATTTTCGAATAAATAATTATATTTGCTCTACTCTGTATTGAGCACTCTTTTAAAAATAGTATTTGTTGGTTATTGGAATTTATTCCGTATACACAAATCCTATACTTATATATATATATATATATATATATATATATATATATATATATATATATATATATATATAAACAGGAAGTATAAGAGCAAGAATAATAAAATAAAACCATAAAAGAGGTGAGTCGAAACAATAACGAAAATATCAAAAAAGAGGATAACCGATTTTCGATCCTCGCTCTTCAGAGCCAATAGAGGACAAAATGTAATTTGTGTGTACAACATTTTTAAAAAAACCAATACATTAAGAAGTCTCAGTAAATGGGCAAAGCGAAAAGATATAATTACATTCTGTTTACTATTTTCAAATGGTGATCAGGGTACGCTCTACTTATTATGTTAAAGAAGTATCTTGTGACAATCGAAAACTTTTTAGACACTATTTGTTATTTTTCTTGTTTATTTTCCTCATTTTTTGCTTCACCTCATTTTGGTGATTTATTTTGTTAGCCTTGATCCCTTTCCCCTTATCAATGACATCTCATTTTAATTACGTAAATTGAGATGAGTTTCGTAAACTGAGGAAAGTAGCTCTTCTAAGTAAAAAAAAAAAATAAAAAATAAAAATAAAATAAAATAAAAACACTGATTTAAGGCCTCTGCTGCATTCTGGCGATAATCACTCATTGGAAAAGCATTGGGAGTCAACTCGAAAGAAAATTGCACAGCTGAAGTCCCAAAGGCAGTTTGTTGGTGTATTCAGCACCATCTTTGCAACTACTGTGATGGGGTTGGAACTATGTATCAGCATTTGTCTTTCCATTGGACTGTTTCAGTGACATGAAAAAGGGGTACCTACTGCATGGGTAACAATCTGTCCCTCCATATCTCCCTACCCAGATTTTGCTCACTGCTGGAGAAATGGGATTTTTTTGGTGGGGTGAGTTTCTTGGTCGGATTGTGAACTTTTCAATACCCCCTCTTAAATAGTTATCATTCGTATAAAGTTTAGCATCTTTATGATCAAATCGTGTAAAGTGAGGTAAGTATATCCATATCTCATTAGCTTTAACCTTGCAGTAGAACTTTTAAGATGGCATCTGCGTGTGCAGATAGCATAGTCTCATAGAATCGTATCTATCGTACACTTTATGTATAAGGCATTACCATAAATTTGTAAAGGCATAAGGAATTATTTCATGTTCTTATTTAGTTTTTGTTATCATCTTTGTTGTTAAATCTACATTTGGGTCGATGATCTCTAATCTTCCTAATGCTTTCTAAAGTTCCAAACCGAAGGGTTTTCATTATTCGAATCCAGATAAAATCTAAGATATCGAATGCTGGTTCCGAAAGCAAGCAATTGACGTAACCCAATCCTGCTTCATTCATTTCTTGTTAGAACAGATGACATTAATTAGCAAATATCTACGTATATACCAAAGCATTCTAGAAACTTTCAAGATGTGCTAATTTCTGACAATATTATTATTTGTACTGTTACATTTAATTTTTATTTCAATAAAAGATTTCTTTTTTATTTTGATTTTTATTTTCCATTGTTACTTTGTAAGTGTTATTAACAATAAAATCTTGTTCGACAAAACTGATATTTCAATTGCGGAGCGGTTATTACGTCACGCATGCGCATTTAGCTCCTCTCACGAAAGGTAACTTAATGCTTTGTTTAGATTCTTCATGCTCATTAAATTTAGATTTTTCATTTCATTTTTTTAATAGGAATGGTTGCTGCTGTTGGAATTTCTAACCTCAGGCATGTCTCTCTGGATTCTTCCCGAAACCTCTTCGTGATTGGAACTTCTCTCCTTGTCGGTTTGTCTTTACCAATGTGGATACAAAAGAATCCTGGAATGATAAATACCGGTAAGTCAGGAAAACTGAATAAAGAGAAAACCCATTTGAATTATAATTTATTCTTATTCTCCAATCATGCGGGAATGGTTTATATGCTAATGAAAGAGATATTTTGATATATTTCAAAAATAATTATACAAATGCCTCAAATATCAGATATTCTGTATAGATATTTTAGCTTAGATACATCTAATCTTTTAATAATAGATATAATAGATGTGCTAATTATTATTCATTACAGTAAAAATATTTGTTGCAAAAGACAGAATTAACTAGCTAAGGTTTATGATGAAATGTGTTAACATCAAGAAAGTAGGTTAGTGCAAAAATAGAAAATACAAGATGCATTTTCCGTTAAACCTTCTAGTCGACAAACTAATGACGCCTTTAAAAACACCCTAAGGCAAATTTCTAATCAGTTAAGAGAAAGCTAACTCAATATATACAGTCGTGTACATTCTCTGTTGTTTCTTCGTATGTGTGTGTGTGTGTTTGTTTTGTCTTGTTTTGCTTATTTTCATTTAATTTTTTTACTTTTAAACTGTACTGCGAGAAAAGAAGCCCCATTTACCGGTTGGCCAGACGCACTTAGGAAATTGAATTTTATCAATGAAAGTTCTCTTTAAATATAATAATGTTCATTTTAGTAAATTTATTTTAGGATGTGCGATCATTGCAACGGTTATCGATGTGGAAAGTTTTTTTTTTTTAATCATTTCACATCAAGCAAGGCAATAAAGCCACTAGGATGCAAGGAGTTACTGAGTGTTAGAAAATATGAGAAAAACTACTATTAAAGAATGATGACAATAAAAGAATAAGAATTAAGAAGACAAAAGTTAACGATTGACATTGCATTTAAATTTTTGAAGATCAAAGTTGACTGGAAAGCAAAAAGCTGGAAGAGAGTTCCCCAAGTGAGAAGTGCGGAAGAAGAAACTGCCAGCATAGAAGTTACGGTTACATCTAGTCAGTTCAATTGTAAATTGGCGAGACATTGCCGTCAATCTAATACTTTTTCGTTAATATTTTAACGATTGCAGCATGTTTCACCTAATTAAGTGCATGTTCCTATTCAAAAAAACTAAACAAATATATTTTTTATATTTTGTTGTTTTTTATTGGGTTTTTTTTTTTTGTATTTTGTTATAATTTTTGTTTTGTTTTAGATCTTTCAATGTACGTATTCTCTTCATCTGAAATATTTTTAGTCTCCACTCCTTAAACCAGATTCTTCACAAAACTGGCTTTCTTTTATACTATTTCTTCGTCTGTAAGTACTTTTAAGAGTAACTTGTATATGGTTTAATAGTAATGTGATCTATTTATATAAGTTCAATAGTAATGTGGTAAATTGCCTTTATATTTCCTCTTTTATAACGTTCGTCTACTATTCCTAGAGTGAAATATTGAGGTACTTTATCGAATACTCTGTTTAAATAGTGAGAATCCTTTATGGGTTACTTCTCATGAATATGTCAAAAGATGTGTTACTGTGCCATCTTATCTTGATATTTTGCCGCATTCATATTTTGTAGCACGAAATTTATTTATTTATTTTACCTCAGAAATATCACTAGTATCTGTCGGGGTGACTGTTGGTAGTATTTTTAGATTTCGAAAAAGGTCAGCACTACTTCATGATTATTCTTAATATCTTATCCCGACATTGAGTAACTTTGCTGTTTCTGCTTTTCAAAGCAAACAGTTGCTTTTCATCTATGCGGGTTGTGAATCAATCACGTTTCAATCTATTCCCTTTCCTGTAGCTTCTATTCTTTGTAAACTCATCATTCTTTTTCGTGTCTCATTTTTTGTTGATATGTTTAATTATGCACTTCCAATTTTATCTTCCAATCTTATTACCTGTGGAACACCATTTCCGCCTAGAAAAACATTATGTTAGAATCCATGCAAAATTCATTTTGATTGAAAAAATAGAAATAAACAGAAAAGATAACCTTAGAAAAATACTAGAGGAACATGAAGACAAATGGATTTTGCGCCTCAAAACTCAAAACACAAATTTAACATAGATAGAATAACTCCATAAATCAAGCCCTACCCACATTTCTCACCCACACAAGACAGACATGCTTGCAGAGGTGTTGAGGTCTCACACGTATACACACACTCATACTAATATATATACATACACGCCTCATACACACTCACAAAAAACTAAAATATAGCATTCTCTTAACACACACATTCCATTCCCAGCAACCAATAAAACTGTCAAAATGACCAAGGAAATAATTCTTAAAGTCAGGAAACCCCTTCTTCCATCTTAAAACAACTTGAAAGAGGCAATTTGACCAACACAAGAACTGACCAAATTTAACAATAAAAAGACAAATGAAAACTACAGATAAAGTTAACTTTGTTCAGAAACAGTCATTCACTCATGTAGTTCACTGCTACTAACAAGCAAGGATTTTTTTTCTCCTGATGATGGCCATTGCTGGCTGAAACTAGTCGAGGAACCTAACTGAAATAACAAAACAAAAAATATTAATATACAACCCAGTGTATCTGAAAATTTTAATTTTTTAATATTTTTTATTGCTCAAAACATACTCTCACACACACACACACACACACACACACATATATATATATATATATATATATATATTATATATATACAGAGTGAGAGAAAGGGAGGGAGAGAGTGTATTGTTTACCTTCTAGAATTCATTTAGGTTAAGGAGCAGTTAGACAGTGTCGGATTTAGGTAAAGTGAGGCCATAGGCTCATCTACTTGTGAGTTCCTAACACTCATGACTTGATGAAAATGTAAGTGTTTAAAATAATTGCACTATGGTCAAGATGACGGATGTTTAAAATTGTGCACTTTACGCTTCTTTCTCGAAAGGACACAAAATCATCTTGTTAAAAATCGTAGCTATGCATAAATGTTAAAATTAACACTATGGAACACTTTGTATGCATTTCTGGGAATAAGGAATTTTCTGGAAAATAAAAATGAAATGTTAAGTTTGCAGATACTGTTATATAAAAAGTGTAAGATTAAAAATGTTATTTATTGGTATTTGTTTAAAGTAACTGTTTGATATTCTACTTTATGTTAAAATACATATTAAAACAAATTCAGAGTTCCTTGTAAGTTACCCAGATCAATATACACCTGAGGAAGGCCGGAGGACACAACAGCCGAAACATTGTGATAAAAACAACAAAGATGAGGACAATAGTTCGAATATAAATAGTGTAAATAAAAGATTAAGACATAAAGAAATTAAACCTAAAGATTTTTTATTGCCTTTTTCATAATGAAATTATCCAGTCAATCACAATGTAGCCTACTTCTCTTGTTAGACTTTGTGGCCCTTGATTTATTTTTCTTTGCGTTTGTATCTTGAAAATGGCCCATCTCCCGAATAGGGACCACTAACCCTTTGAACCCTGACCACCGTTTTACCAGTGGTAAAGAAAATTGGCGTAATACCCAGCCACCGATTGAACAGTGGTAGAGAAAAATGACTTAATGCCCAGCCACCAGTTGAACGGTAACTATTTTTATATATATCGTGAAGCATTACATACCAACTATTTTCGAATTTTGACTCAGGAGCTCAGGCAGAAAGGTAAAAGATGTTCTGGAACGCAAGGGTTAAACTAAAAAAATTAATTGTTGTCTTTCAAAATAAATGCATTCATATTTTCATAATAAATGAATTCACTACGTAGAGGATTTTTCATATATATTTATGTAAAGGACAAAATAGATCACAAATTAGAAAATGGAAATTATATTTACGTGTATGCAGATAGCTAAAAGAAAAAAAAACAGTATTTATGGTTTTAGAGGTTGTGTGTGTGTGTGTGTGTGTGTGTGTGTGTGTGTGTGTGTGTGCGCGCGCGCGCTACGTATTGGTAAAATTAAAGTCGCCGGCCAAGGGACTGTTTTCACGGAGGGAACAAGACTTCCTGACACTAACGCATCCTTGGGCTAAGAGGGCAAAAGAGAGAGACCGAGTTTATGCCCTTTCATTTTATACAGCTGGTTGGCACACCATCTAGTGAGCGTTAAGCGAAGTTCTGCGCCAGGCAAGGTGGGGTATTGTCTGTATGATCGAGTTCTCTTCTGGGAGCCTATGTAAGTTCGTCAGGGAGTTTCATGTCAGCATATTCACAGTATGCTTACATAAAAAGTTTAACACCTTGCTGGATTTCTTCCTTAGAAACGGTCAGATGCGCAAAAAAGTAAAAACATTTATGCAGTATCATTTCATAGAGTGGCTTTTCTCTTCAAGTGCATCTAACGATAGGAATAAGGCATTTTATCTTACTTATTCAAAAGAGTTCATCGAAAGCAACAGGTACATTTCCATCGTTTCATTACGGTTTTCTCACTTTTTACCTCCTTGTCTCTCCAATTTACATTTGCCACCTTGTCTCTCCAACTTGCATTTGCCTCCTTGTCTCTCCAATTTGCATTTGCCTCCTTGTCTCCCATTTGCCTCCTTGTCTCTACATTTGCCTCCTTGTCTCTCCAATTTAGCCTTGCATTTGCCTCCTCCTTGTCTCTCCCATTTGCATTTTTGTCTCTCCATTTCCTTGTCTCTCCAATTTACATTTGCCTCCTTGTCTCTCTAACTTGCATTTGCCTCCTTGTCTCTCCTTGTCCTTGTCTCTAACTTGCATTTGCCTCCTTGTCTCTCAATTTAATTTGCCTCCTTGTCTCTCTCAATTTACATTTGCCTCCTTGTCTCTCAACTCTTACATTTGCCTCCTTGTCTCTCCAATTTACATTTGCCTCCTTGTCTCTCAAACATTTGCATTTGTCTCTCCATTTGCCTCCTTGTCTCCAATTTACATTTGCCTCCTTGTCTCTCCAACTAGCATTTGCCTCCTTGCCTTTACATTTGTCTCTCCAACTTGCATTTGCCTCCTTGTCTCTCCAATTTATTTGCCATTTGCCTCCTTTGTCTCTCCATTTGCCTCCTTGTCTCTCCAATTTACATTTGCCTCCTTGTCTCTCTCTGCCTCCTTGCAATTTGCATTTGCCTCCTTGTCTCCAATTTACATTTGCCTCCTTGTCTCTCCAATTTACATTTGTCTTCTTGTCTCTCCCACTTGCATTTGCCTCCTTGTCTCTCAAATTTACATTTGTCTCCTTGTCTCTCTAACTTGCATTTGCCTCCTTGTCTCTCCAATTTACATTTGCCTCCTTGTCTCTCCAATTTACATTTGCCTCCTTGTCTCTCAACTTGTATTTGCCTCCTTGTCTCTCACTTGCATTTGCCTCCTTGTCTCTCAATTTACATTTGCCTCCTTGTCTCTCCAACTTGCATTTGCCTCCTTGTCTCTCAATTTGCATTTGCCTCCTTGTCTCTCAATTTACATTTGCCTCCTTGTCTCTCTAACTTGCATTTGCCTCCTTGTCTCCAATTTCATTTGCCTCCTTGTCTCTCCAACTTTTGCCTCCTTGTCTCTCCAATTTACATTTGCCTCCTTGTCTCCTAGCCATTTGCCTCCTTGTCTCTAACTTGCATTTGCCTCCTTGTCTCCTTACATTTGCCTCCTTGTCCAATTTACATTTGCCTCCTTGTCTCTCCACATTTGCCTTTGTCTCTCCTTGTCCTTGTCTCTCAATTTGCATTTGCCTCCTTGTCTCTCCAATTTACATTTGCCTCCTTGTCTCTCCAATTTACATTTGCCTCCTTGTCTCTCCAATTTACATTTGCCTCCTTGTCTCTCCAACTTGCATTTGCCTCCTTGTCTCTCCAATTTACATTTGCCTCCTTGTCTCTCTAGCTTGCATTTGCCTCCTTGTCTCTCTAACTTGCATTTGCCTCCTTGTCTCTCCAATTTCCATTTGCCTCCTTGTCTCTCCCACTTGCATTTGCCTCCTTGTCTCTCCAATTTACATTTGCCTCCTTGTCTCTCTAACTTGCATTTGCCTCCTTGTCTCCAATTTACATTTGTCTCCTTGTCTCTCCCATTTGCCCTCCTTGTCTCTCCATTTGCCTCCTGCCATTTGTCTCCAACTTACATTTGCCTCCTTGTCTCTCCAATTTACATTTGCCTCCTTGTCTCTCCATTTGCTCCTTGTCTCTTGCATTTGCCTCCTTGTCATTTCTCCTTGTCTTACATTTGCCTCCTTGTCTCTCCATTTGCCTCCTTGTCTCTCCAATTTACATTTGCCTCCTTGTCTCTCTAACTTGCATTTGCCTCCTTGTCTCTCCAATTTACATTTGCCTCCTTGTCTCTCCAACTTGCATTTGCCTCCTTGTCTCTCCAATTTACATTTGCCTCCTTGTCTCTCCAATTTACATTTGCCTCCTTGTCTCTCCTTGCATTTGCCTCCTTGTCTCCATTTGCCTCCTTGTCTCTCAATTTACATTTGCCTCCTTGTCTCTAACTTACATTTGCCTCCTTGTCTCCTCCATTTGCCTCCTTGTCTCTCAACTTGCATTTGCCTCCTTGTCTCTCAATTTACATTTGCCTCCTTGTCTCTCAATTTACATTTGCCTCCTTGCTCTTTGCCTCCTTGTCTCTCCAATTTACATTTGCCTCCTTGTCTCTCCAACTTGCATTTGCCTCCTTGTCTCTCAATTTGCCTCCTTGTCTCTCCAACTTGCATTTGCCTCCTTGTCTCCAACTTGCATTTGCCTCCTTGTCTCTCAATTTACATTTGCCTCCTTGTCTCTCCAACTTACATTTGCCTCCTTGTCTCTAACTTGCATTTGCCTCCTTGTCTCTCCAATTACACATTTGCCTCCTTGTCTCTCCAATTTTTACATTTGTCTCTCCATTTGCCCTTGTCTCTCTAACATTGCCTCATTTGCCTCCTTGTCCTCTCCAATTTACATTTGCCTCTTGTCTCTCAATTTACATTTCCTTGTCTCTCAATTTGCATTTGCCTCCTTGTCTCTCCCAATTTACATTTGTCTCCATTTGCCTCCTTGTCTCTAACTTGCATTTGCCTCCTTGTCTTGTGCATTTGCCTCCTTGTCTCTCCATTTGCATTTGCCTCCTTGTCTCTCCAATTTTTGCATTTGCCTCCTTGTCTCTAATTTGCCTCCTTGTCTCTCAATTTTTGCCTCCTTGTCTCTCAATTTACATTTGCCTCCTTGTCTCTCAACTTGCATTTGCCTCCTTGTCTCTCCAATTTACATTTGCCTCCTTGTCTCTCCAATTTATTTTTCCTTGTCATTTGCCTCCTTGTCTCTCCACTTGCATTTGCCTCCTTGTCTCTCCAATTTACATTTGCCTCCTTGTCTCTCCAACTTGCATTTGCCTCCTTGTCTCTCCAATTTGCATTTGCCTTGTCTCTGCATTTGCCTCCCTCATTTGCCTCCTTGTCTCTGCATTTGCCTCCTTGTCTCTCCAATTTACATTTGCCTTCTTGTCTCTCCAATTTACATTTGCCTCCTTGTCTGTCTAACTTGCATTTGCCTCCTTGTCTCTGCATTTTTGCCTCCTTGTCTCTCCAATTTACATTTGCCTTTGCTCTCTTGCTTGTCTCTCTTGCATTGCCTCCTTGTCTCTCATTTGCCTCCTTGTCTCTCTAATTTAACTTGTCTCTCCAATTTGCATTTGCCTCCTTGTCTCAATCCAATTTACATTTGCCTCCTTGTCTCTCAACTTGCATTTGCCTTTGCACATTTGTCTCTCCACTTGCATTTGCCTCCTTGTCTCTCCAACTTGCATTTGCCTCCTTGTCTCTCCAATTTACATTTGCCTCCTTGTCTCTCCAATTTACATTTACATTTGCCTCCTTTGTCTCTCCTTGTCTCTCCACTTGCATTTGCCTCCTTGTCTCTCCAATTTACATTTGCCTCCTTGTTGCCTTCTTGTCTTTGCCTCCTTGTCTCTACATTTGCCTCCTTGTCTCTCAATTTTTGCCTCCTTGTCTCTCATTTGCCTCCTTGTCTCTCAATTTACATTTGCCTCCTTGTCTCTCCAACTTGCATTTGCCTCCTTGTCTCTCTCATTTGCCCTTGTCTCTCAATTTGTATTTGCCTCCTTGTCTCTCTAGCTTTTGCCTTTGCCTCCATTTGCCTCCTCTCCCAATTTGCATTTGCCTCCTTGTCTCTCAATTTACATTTGCCTTTGCCTCCTCTCCAATTTACATTTGCCTCCTTGTCTCTCTCTAACTTGCATTTGTCCTTCTTGCATTTGCCTCTCCATTTTTGCATTTGCCTCCTTGTCTCTCCAACTTGCATTTGCCTCCTTGTCTCTCCAATTTTACATTTGCCTCCTTGTCTCTAACTTGCATTTTGCCTCCTTGTCTCCAATTTGCATTTGCCTCCTTGTCTCTCCAATTTACATTTGCCTCCTTGTCTCTCTTGCATTTGCCTCCTTTCTCTCCAATTTTGCATTTGCCTCCTTGTCTCTCCAATTTGCATTTGCCTCCTTTGTCTCTCCCCCCCAACTTGCATTTGCCTCCTTGTCTCTCAATTTACATTTGCCTCCTTGTCTCTCAACTTGCATTTGCCTCCTTGTCTCTCCTCCAACTTGCATTTGCCTCCTTGTCTCTCCAATTTACATTTGCCTCTTGTCTCTCTAGCTTGCATTTGCCTCCTTGTCTCTCAACTTGCATTTGCCTCCTTGTCTCTCCCAATTTACATTTGCCTCCTTGTCTCTCCAACCCACATTTGCCTCCTTGTCTCTCTAACTTGCATTTGCCTCCATTTGTCTTCTCTCCAACTTGCATTTGCTTGTCTCCATTTGCCTTCTTGTCTCTCCAATTTACATTTGCCTCCTTGTCTCTCCAACTTGCATTTGCCTCCTTGTCCTCCAATTTACATTGTCTTCCTTGTCTCTCAATTTACATTTGCCTCCTTGTCTCTCTTCTTACATTTGCCTCCTTGTCTCTCCTTGTATTTGCCTCCTTGTTTCTCCAATTTACATTTGCCTCCTGTCTTGCATTTGCCTCCTTGTCTCTCAATTTACATTTGCCTCCTTGTCTCTCAATTTAACTTGCATTTTGCCTCCTTGTCTCTCTACATTTACATTTGCCTCCTTGTCTCTCCAATTTGCATTTGCCTCCTTGTCTCTCTAACTTGCATTTGCCTCCTTGTCTCTCAATTTCCATTTGCCTCCTTGTCTCTCCAATTTGCATTTGCCTCCTTGTCTCTCCAACTTGCATTTGCCTCCTTGTCTCTCTCAATTTGCATTTTGCCTCCTTGTCTCTCCAATTTACATTTGCCTCCTTGTCTCTCTGTCTTACATTTGCATTGCCTCCTTGTCTCTACACTTGCATTTGCCTCCTTGTCTCCTCCAACTTACATTTGCCTCTCTCAATTTACATTTGCCTCCTTGTCTCTCAACTTAATCCTTGTCTCTCCTTTTGCCTCCATCATTTACATTTTGCCTTCTTGTCTCCAATTTTACATTTGCCTCCTTGTCTCCAACTTGCATTTGCCTCCTTGTCTCTCCAACTTGCATTTGCCTCCCTTGTCTCTCTAGCTTGCATTTGCCTCCTTGTCTTCCATTTACATTTGCCTCCTCCTTGTCTCTCAATTTGCATTTGCCTCCTTGTCTCTCCAATTTACATTTGCCTCCTTTGTCTCTCTCTAACTTGCATTTTGCCTCCTTGTCTCTCAAATTTACATTTTTTGCTCTTCATTTGTCTCTCAATTTACATTTGCCTCCTTGTCTCTTAACTTACATTTGCCTCCTTGTCTCTCCATTTTACATTTTGCCTTCCTTGTCTCTCAATTTACATTTGCCTCCTTGTCTTCCCTCCATTTGCCTCCTTGTCTCTCCTTGCATTTGCCTCCTTGTCTCCAATTTACATTTGCCTCCTTGTCTCTCTCCACGTTGCCTCCTTGCATTTGCCTCCTTCTTGTCTCTCCAATTTACATTTTCCTTGTCTCTCCCTTGCATTTTGTCTCTCCAATTTACATTTGTCTCTCTTGTCTCTCTTTGCCATTTGCCTCCTTGCATCTCCAATTTACATTTGCCTCCTTGTCTCTCCAATTTCATATTTGCCTCCTTGTCTCTCTAGCTTGCATTTGCCTCCTGTCTCCCAATCTGCATTGTCTCTCAATTTTTTACCTCCTTGTCTCTCCACATTTGCCTCCTTGTCTCTCCATTTCCATTTGCCTCCTTATCTCTCAATTTGCATTGCCTCCTTGTCTCTCAATTTACATTTGCTCCTTGTCTCTCCAATTTGCCTCCTTGTCACTTGCATTTGCCTCCTTGTCTCCAATTTACATTTGCCTCCTTGTCTCTCCAACTTGCATTTGTCCTTGTCTCTCAATTTACATTTGCCTCCTTGTCTCTAGCTTGCATTTGCCTCCTTGTCTCTCCCCACTTGCATTTGCCTCCTTGTCTCTCCACATTTACATTTGTCTCTCAATCCTTGTCTCTCTAACTTGCATTTGCCTCCTTGTCTCTCAACATTTGCCTCCTTGCCATTTGCCTCCTTGTCTCTCCAATTTACATTTGCCTCTTGTCTCTCCAATTTACATTTGTCTCTCTTTGTCTCTCTCTTGTATTTGCCTCCTTGTCTCTCCAATTTACATTTGCCTCCTTGTCTCTCTATTTTACATTTGCCTCCTTGTCTCTCCAATTTACATTTTGCCTCCTTGTCTCTCAATTTGCATTTGCTCCTTGTCTCTCCATTGCCTCCCTGTCTCTACATTTGCCTCCTTGTCTCTCCCACCTTCTTGTCTCATTTGCCTCCTTGTCTCTCTAGCTTGTCTCCAATTTACATTTGCCTCCTTGTCTCTCAACTTGCATTTGCCTCCTTGTCTCTCCAATTTACATTTGCCTCCCTTGTCTCTCCAATTTACTTGTCTTTGCTTGCATTTCCTTTGTCTCTCCTAACTTGCATTTGCCTCCTTGTCTCTCAATTTCACATTTGCTCTCCATTTGTCCTTGTCTCTCAACTTACATTTGCCTCCTTGTCTCTCTAATTTGTTGCCTTCTTGTCTCTCCGTTCATATTTGCCTCCTTGTCTCCAACTTTGCATTTGCCTCCTTGTCTCTCAATTTGCATTTTGCCTCCTTGTCTCTCCAATTTCATTTGCCTTCTTGTCTCTCCAACTTCCATTTGCCTTGTCTCTCAATTTACATTTGCCTCCTTGTCTCTCTAGCTTGCATTCCTCCTTGTCTCTCTAACTTACATTTGCCTCCTTGTCTCTCAATTTACATTTGCCTCCTTGACTCACTAACTTTGTCTCCTTGTCTCTCAATTTACATTTGCCTCCTTGTCTCTCAATTGTTTATCTTGTCTCTCCTCTAACTTGCACATTTGCCTCCTTATCTCTCCAATTTGTTGCCTCCTTGTCTCTCAATTTGTTGCCTCCTTGTCTCCTTCTTTTACATTTGCCTCCTTGTCTCTCAATTTCCATTGCCTCCTTGTCTCTCCCACTTGCATTTACTCCTTGTCTCTCGTTACATTTTGCCTCCTTGTCTCTCTAACTTGTTTGCCTCCTTGTCTCTCAATTTACATTTGCCTCCTTGTCTCACAATTTACATTTGTCTCCTTGTCTCTCTAACACATTGCCTCCTTGTCTCTCAATTTACATTTGCCTCCTTGTCTCTCCAATTTACATTTCCTCCTTGTGTCTCTCTAACTTGCATTTGCCTCCTTGTCTCTCCAATTTGTTTGCCTCCTTGTCTCTCCAACTTGCATTTGCCTCCCCATGTCTCTCCAACTTGCATTTGCCTCCTTGTCTCTCTCCAGCATTTGCCTCTGTCTCAATTTACATTTGCCTTCTTGTCTCTCAATTTACATTTGCCTCCTTGTCTCTCAACTTGCATTTGCCTCCTTGTCTCCTCAACTTACGTTGCCTCCTTGTCTCTCTAGCTTGCATTTG